TCAGGCAGTGGGAGCGCCAGGAAAATGGTTTAAAAGCCTAGATTTATCTTTGGCAGCTCCCCCCACTGTGCCCCTCTACCCTCCTCTGACACCTCTGTCACTCTGAGCCTGCCCCCAGCCACCCATGGCACATTGCTGGCATTCCTTTATTTTCCCCCTCCCCACTGACTGCCTTGGTCTTGGCTCCATCTCATCATTAAGAAGCCAGGCTTTCTGTTCTTTCCAGGAGGAGAATCAATGCGTCCAAGGAGCAGTGCTACTAGGACAGCTGATGGGCCCTCTGACACAATGGCAACAACTAGCACTTGGAGAGTACTGAGAGTACTTCTATTTTGCAAAAGTTCTTTCTTGTGTGTTACTTTGCCTCATCATTTACTCTGCTAGTAAGTAGAGGAGCTGGAACCCAGGTTTCTCAATTCCATGGCTATTGCTGCTGCATCTCTGAAAGCACCTGCTCAATTAGTTGTTGGGCCAGACTTGATGGTGGAAGTTTGGGGCCAGGGAGGGAGAGTGTGTATTAGGCACTGTGTCATGTACTTATAAGAAATGCTAATCCTCACAGCGTCCCCATGAGATGGCTGAAGTTATCCTCAGCTTCCAGGGGAGGACACAGAAGACAGAGTAACTTGCCTAAAAGCACCTGACTAGTACCTGGTTGTGTTGAGGTTTGCACCCAGGTGGGTTTGACTCCGTGACGCCCTCACTAGCCCTTGGAGAGAAAAGAGGATCTGGGGAGCATGTATGTGGCTAAGGGGCAGTCAGCAGCCTTGGCTACCATGTGGATGAGGTGCCCACAAGAAGGGAAGAGTGGATGAGAGGAGGGCCAGCTGGAAAGCAGGAGGAGATGCTTTCACTGGCAAGGATCAGGAGTTCGTGGGGATGCTATGAACAGGGACACCAAACCTCCCAAACAAAATGAGGTCATTTGTGTGCAGTGAACTGACTGCTGCACTCTCCCTCTGTGATGGCTCTGAGGCCACATCATCCATTCTGACTTTGTGCTGTGAGCAGCCTGCTTCCGGGCTCACTGCTTGCCATACACAGGGGTGCAAAGAACTTAGAGTGGGGTTTATAAAAAGCTGGAATGGGAACAGTGCTGCAGTTTAAATTCTGAGCCTCCAAATAAAAGTGTCAAGGCTCCTTGTGGCACTGGAAAGGCAAGGGAGATCTACAGCAAGAAGTATCCTCCCTGCAGCTCTCGCAGTTCGGATGCTGTATACAATTCTGAAGTCAAAGAAAAGCCAAACAGCCAACCCACTCAGCCCCAAACATCTCACACACTCCCACCCATGTTCTTGCTGGTGGCAGGTATTTTTAGAGTTATGAGCTCATGGTGTTAAAGCATCTGCCACATGCCTGAGGGCTGGTAGGGATTCAGCCTTACTCAGAGGCAAGAGTTAAGACTACCGGAGGGTGGGGGTGGGGATCAGGAGCCAAGTGGTAATGATATTCTTGTGCTATACCTGCTCTCTTCCCAGTGACCTCCATTCCTCTCCTGGCCTGCTCTCCTTTCTTCCTGCTCAGAGCACTGGAGAGGTGGAAGAAGTGAAAATCTTTTCTGTCTTTGCTTTCAGAAGCAAATCAGTGTTCAAGGACTTACATTTTTCTGTGTAACCAAAGTTGAATGTTCTCTCTGAAATTGCCTTGGGAGATACGGAGGATGCCAGACTGCTGGTAGTTTTGGTGGCTCAGTATTGCCTTTTGATGATGATGACGATGACGATGATGACAACGATGGTGACAAGGGATCTGATGCAGAAAAAGGGTGCTTAGAAATTTGGCTGGAGAAATGCCAAGAGCACCGATGACACAAGTAGACAACAAATAATACATTCTAAATGGTGTGGTACAGACTCAAAGTGCAATAGGAAGTTAGAAGAAAAGAGAGTGGAAGAGAAGGTAGAGAAGAATGGAGTTTTAGGAAGAAGGCGGACATGAGCTGAGTCTTGAAGGATGGGTGACATTGGGATAGGGCAACGAGGGGGCGACCCATTCTGCAGGGGAAAGACGGACTCACAGGACCAAAGGCAAAGAAGAGGGAATGAACCAGGTGTAGCTGAGTAGTTTGAAACCACGCTGGGCAGGGCCGAATGATGTCAGAAACTTTTCCATTTCGATGCCACATGCAGAAGAGGGCTGTCATAATTTCCTGAAGAGGAGGGTGTCACGCTGATGCAAGCAGGGATTTAGGACAAGCAGGGGTTTAGGAAGGCTAGTTTGAATGCAGGAAGCACTGGAATGGAGACAGCTAGAACCCAAAAGACTCTGTTGTAGTCCAGGAGTGAGGAAAGGAGGGTCAGGCCTAGGGACATGAAAATCAAAATAGAAGAAGGGGTGTGAATCTGACAGTTGTGCCAAGGTAATGTGGCAGTCATACCAACAGAGGAGATGAAGGGGAGTCTAGACAATGAAAATTGATGTTCAGAATGATGACGACTCCGGGGCCCTGTAAGATCTTCACTCAGCAAAGAGATCCAATTATATTTACTAGATTATACTTACCAACTGCTAACTGCAAATAAAGTTTATACTTAGTTTTAAGAGCCATAGTAGTCAATTAGTGACCATTATCAAATTTTCTTTGATAACTGAGAATTGCATAGGGCCTCAGGGTCGTCATTCTGGGTATACATTTCTCTTGTCCAAGACTTTGGATGTGTAAAGGGAAATAGATGGGGTGATTGTGTGTCAAATCCAGAGTATCCTTGGGAATTGTGTCTTTGTATGTGTTACTGATAATCAGCATTTTTTCCTTCATAATTTGGCTTTTATCCCAAAAGCTGAGATGCGGAAGAAAAATCCAGTGAGCTAAATTGGATTTTTCATATCAAAGAAGTGAACTTAGAATAGATTGAGCTAAAAGGTGAGATTTTTTTTTTGAGAGAGAGAGAGAGAGCTAGAGAGCAGGGGAGGGGCGGGGGGGGGGGACAGGGGATCTGAAGGGGACTCCATGCTGACAGTAGCGAGCCCAGTGCCGGGGTCGAACTAATGAACTGTGAGATCATGACCTGAGCCAAAGTCAGACGCTCAATTGACTAAGCCACCCAGGCACTCCTTGCATGACTTTTCAAAGAAAAGGAAGTGTTTAGGGGCACCTGGGTGGCTCAGTCAGTTGAACATCTGACTTCGGCTCAGGTGATGATCTCATGGATCTTGAGTTCGAGCCCCATATCTAGCTCACTGCTATCAGCACGGGGCCTGCTTTGGATTCTCTGTCCCCCCCTCTTAAAAATAATAAATAAACATTTAAAAAATCATTTGTCTAAAGGGGCACCTGGGTGGCTCAGTCACTTTGGTGTCTGACTTCGGCTCAGGTCATGATTTCATGGTTTGTGAGTTCAAGCCCTGTGTTGGGCTCTGTGCTGAGAGCTCAGAGCCTGGAGCCTGCTTCAGATTCTGTGTCACCCTCTCTCTCTGCCCCTTCCCCGCTCATGCTCTGTCTCTCTCTGTCTCTCAAAAATAAATAAACATTAAAAAAATTTTTAGGGGCGCCTGGGTGGCTCAGACGGCTAAGTGTCTGACATCGGCTCAGGTCATGATCTCACAGTTCGTGAGTTTGAGCCCTGCGTCGGGCTCTGTGCTGATGGCTGGGAGCCTGGAGCCTGCTTTGGACTCTGTGTGTGTGTCTCTCTCTCTGCCCCTCTCCTGCTCACGATCTGTCTGTCTCACTCTCTCTTAAAAATAAACATTAAAAAATTAAAAAATTTAAAATTAAAAAAATCATTTGTCTAAAAAAATTAAAAGTCATGGAAAAATACAAGACAAAGTGATATGTGTTTAGAAAATTTATAATATACAAAAAAAAAGAAGGAAATAAATACCACCTATAAACCCACTGCACATAAATAACTATTAATGTCCTAGTGTATACACTTCCAGTCTCTGCTAGGCATATGTCTGTTTTTTTCAAGTTTATTTATTTTGAGAGAGAGGGAGGGAGAAATGCGTGTGCCTATGTGTGTGTTTGGGAGGGGTAGAGAACAAGGAAGAGAGAGGAAATCCCAAACAGGCTCTGCACTGTCAGCACAGAGCCTGACACGGGGCTCGAACTCACAAACTGTGAGATCATGACTGGAACCGAAATCAAGAGTCAAAGGCCTAACCAACTGAACCATCCAGGTGCCTCAGCATATATCTATTTTTAATATTAAAAAAATTAAGGCCATAGCATATGAACAATTTTGTATCCTGTTTTTTTCACTTCCTGATATTTTATGAGAATTTCCTCTACTATTTATTCTTTGAAAACATTATTTTTAATGGCTACATAATAGTTCATTTTATAGATGTGTACATACACTTTTGCTATTCTTCTCTTAGTGATCATTTAGGTTGTTTCCTGTTTTTAAAAAAGTATAAACACTGCTATTAAGATCTTTGTACAGGGAGTGCCTGGGTGGGTCAGTCAGTTAAGCATCTGACTCTTGATTTCAGCTCAGGTCATGATCTCATTGTTCATGGGTTTCAGCCCCGTGTCAGTCTCCACACTGACAGTGCAGAACCTGCTTGAGATTTTCTCTTTCTCTCTGCCCCAACTCCATCATGGGCATGCACTCTTTCTCTCTCAAAATAAATAAATAAACTTTTAAAAAATTAAAAAAGATCTTTGTACACAAATTTGACCACATCTCTGCTACTTTGTATGGATTTCTGGAAGTGAGATTATAGGCTTGGAGAGTTTTGAACATTTTCAAGGTTCTTGATAATATTGTTAAATAGTCTTCCAGAAAAGCTGACCAAATTTACATCCCAGTTTTTCAACTAAAAGCTTTAAGATTTTTCAACTCAAGATTTTCAACTCAAATTTTTGAGAAGAATGTTACAAACCCATAGAGAAACTTCTCTGTATACTTTGAGAAGTCCATTCTGCCAGTCTGTCAAAGAACCCCTTCCTGTGTCAGGCCTTTCACCCCATTTTTATAATATCACAGAACCATGTTTTCTCCTATCCATTCACATTACCTTTTCTGACTCAAGATATGGGTTTTTGTATCTTCCAGGTTCAAGTATGGGACACAGCAGGTCAGGAACGCTTCCGCAAAAGCATGGTGGAGCATTACTACCGAAATGTGCATGCAGTGGTCTTCGTCTATGACGTCACTAAGATGACATCCTTCACCAACCTCAAAATGTGGATCCAGGAATGCAATGGGCATGCTGTACCCCCACTAGTCCCGAAAGTGCTTGTGGGCAACAAGTGTGACTTGAGGGAACAGATCCAGGTGCCCTCCAACTTAGCCCTGAAGTTTGCTGATGCCCACAACATGCTCTTGTTTGAGACTTCAGCTAAGGACCCCAAAGAGAGCCAGAACGTGGAGTCAATTTTCATGTGCCTGGCTTGCCGATTAAAGGCTCAGAAATCCCTGCTCTATCGTGATGCTGAGAGGCAGCAGGGGAAGGTGCAGAAACTGGAGCTCCCACAGGAAGCTAACAGCAAAGCTTCCTGTCCTTGTTGAAACCAAATAGTGTAAATACAAGATCAATTATTACCAGAGTTTTTTCGTTCCCTTTTTGTTCCCGTGCCTGCAAAATGCTGACACCTGCTTGTTTCCATACAAATTGATATGAAAATAAAATTTGTATAGATTATCACATGCCTTCATGTCTTGTTTTCCTGCAAGAAGACGTTTGTGATTGTGAGGAGTGGAAGACGCTTTGCCAGGGCACACTCCCTACCAGCCTTCTATGCCACCTGAATCATTTGAGCCACTTCTTCAGGACTCATTCGTTCTGTCACTCAGTATCATTAGTGGGCAGAAACACCCAGAGGGGGTGGGATACAGACCAGATATGTGGAAGGATAAAGTCTTGAAAGGAGATGTTTACTCATAAATATTTCCTAGGTTCCCTGGATGTTGAGAGTAGGCTACTCTCTCCTTATTTTCCAAAGTTTAAAAATAAAAAGTATAGGTTGCCCAGTTGCTTCCAAAGTGGTTAAATCATGCCTCCCTTCCCCCCCCCCTTTTTTTTTTTTTTACCAAGAAGTCTCTGACAGCCAGAGTGGTATTTTCCTCCTACCCTTTCTTGACGAGGGCAGGGCTCAAGCTGACAAATATCTGTTATGCCCCCAGATTCTTGCTGGGTGTAACGGGGAAGCATAACAAGGGGAGGATTTGTCCCCTGTTTTCAAAGACCCTCTGATCTTGTTGTGGAAACAATGTACATACTGAAACTACTTGAGAACAAAAATTAAACAATATTACCAAGTTTGCAGCTGTGCTGTGGGAATTGAGAGCAGTTCTGTACTCCGCGTTAGGGAGGAGACCCTGAAGAATAACTGAACTTATTTTGTATGTCGGATAAAGTGTTCCATCTGGATTGATAGACAGGAGGGGAGTGGGCCAAAGTAGGGAGGCAGGAATGACCTTGGGGTTTGAATGAAAGGACAATAGCTGAGCAGCCCTAGTGGGGGAGGTGAGGATGGGGAGGCCTAGACAAAGAGGCAGGACAGTCTGTTGCTCTTTGATGCAGTGGGAGTTTTTGTGGTTTTTCCAGCAGGAATCCTTTATGTATTTCTTAAATGTCTGGTCCTATGGATGTGAAAGTCCCTTGTCCAATTGGTAAAGTAATTAAGAGTGGCTATAAAGGCATAGCTACAACAGCGTCAGATAGATTTGTTTCAGGGGTGCTTTTTAAGGCTGCTCTTTTGTCAGAAGCCCATGGGGCGAGGGTCCCAGGCAGACAGCCCCTGAGCACTTTCCTCTGGTAGGTGAATCCAGGTCTGTCCCCTATCGTCCTCTCCAACCCCACCCCAGCAAAAGATCATACATAGCAGATGCACCTCCCACCGAAACAAATAGCCTGTCTGGTCCTGACTAGTTGTTCCTATGGCCTCTTCCTCCAGAACTGACTGACTCCCCACCCCATCCCCATCCCACTCCCACCTGGCCTCAGGCTGAGTCCCAGTCACAGGTTTGGTTTTCATCACTTGGCTTCTACCTCAGTCCATCTTTGGAGGCTGCCTAGTGCCTCAGTTATGGCTGTGGTTTTTGTTTTGTTTTGTTTTGTTTTGTTTTACTAGTTGTCCCCACCCAACGCCCTGCCGAATCTCACCCAAGGGGCTGGGAGCCTGTTTTCTGTTGGTGAACTGCGTGCTGAAACCTCTGTTGCTATACTTGTCCCCAGCAGACTTGGGCCTTGGGCCTTGTCTCAGACTTCAGATGCTGATTCCTTACCCAGGACACGACCTGCTGTTGTGTGGTGTCTTTTGGCTCTTGACCTGGCTGCAGGGCTGGGTCTCTCTCAGTGGCTGCAAGGTACACTTGTCCATTCAGTCCATTTCAGTCTGGTTCCTGGCCTGCCTTGGTCAGGGCCCTTCTCTGCTGTAACAGGGTCAAGACAACAATATTCCAAGTCCTCTAATCAGGATTGCCTCTTCTAGACCGGAATTGCCTCTGACATCTTTCAGGCATTCAACAAACATTTACTGACCATCTACTATGTGCCACTATGCTAAGCCCTGGGGATGACGTAGGTGAACAATTTAAATCTTGTTCTCACAAAAGGAGATAGATACTATACAAGAATTTGAGAGCAATAAGGACTCTAAGGGTCATAAAACAGGGTAAATGGATAGAAAGTTAGGGAGGTGGGGGGAGGGCAAGCTATTACATACAGTGATCACAACAGGTATCTTTGAAGAGGTAACATTTGAGCTGAGGCCTGAATGAAGAGGAGCAACCAGGTATGAGGTCAGAAAAAGAACTCCAAGCAGAAACAACCAGCAAATGCCAAGGCCCTGAGGCAGAAGTGAGGTTGGTGTGTTTGAGAAACAGAAAGGGGGCTAGTGCGATCAAGGGAGAGCATGTAGGAGATGAGGTTGAGAAGTAGGTGAGGCCAGGTCTGTTGGGTTAGGGTTTTATTTAAGAGCAGAGGGAAACGAGTGGAAGGTTTTATCATCACCTAGACTCAGTACCCTTTGGAAAGATTCAGCAGGCTTGCTAACCAGCAAGAGGGAAAAGCCTCTACTTTTCTTAGCTCTTCTGAGAGGAATAGACACCCTTCCTGGGTGACTCCTGAGTGTAGGCCTCAGGACTGTCATTTCCATGCTGGCTGGCCCACAACTTAAACACCAGACTCTGAACTTCCCTAAGACGATCATCTTTTGTTCCTGCTGAGGCTCTGGTAATTTTGCTCTGAATAAAAGCTGCTCACCAATCGTACCTCTGTTCTGAGCCTCACCTGCGTGATCCTGTCCTTGCCTGCAGTAATGACATTGCCTCTCCCTCAGGTGCCTGGGAACCGCCAAGAAGTCCTGGGGCTCCCCACTGTGACCTCAGGAATCCTGAGAATCTCTGAGCTCCATCAAGTCTCCTGGCCCTAGAGTTTGCTGCTGGTATCAGCAGGGTGGCACAATGGTGCTCAGGCCTCCATTAGATGGAGCGAAAGGATTTGGGAATGGGCTGATCCCAGAATGCACCCAGAGGAAGGGGATTAAAGGAGGCCAGAGAATCATGACGCCTGTATTGCTGTGAGGGTGGTGAGGAACCAGGAGAAGCAAGTGAAATGAGGTGCTTCCAGACCTCTCGTGCAGCCTATGTCTCTGGACTGACCCATGACAGTCAGTATGTCTCCTCTACAGATCCACTTCATTTTTCTGAGCTATACCCTTGAGTCTTTCCCTGTGTAACAGAGACAGGACCCAGAGAAATAACTCCCAACAGTTGAATGCCTATTATTTGCCAGGCCCTGTGCTAACACACCACATTTCTTCACTAGCTCATTTAATGTTCCTTCCCTATGAGGTATGGATAATGATTCCGATTTTACACATATGAATATAGATGCACTGATTTAGTGACTTGTCCAATATAGTAAGTGGTGAGGCGAGATCGGTCTCCCTTCAAGTCTAGGCTCTTTCTATGATATTATACTATCATTCCAGCTAGTTCCAAGCTCCAGAAACTGCAGGGATTGCAGGTTCACTCAAGCTAGTCCCCCTAATCCATGGGGGTTTGGCAAGCAGGTGGTTCAATAGCCAGGAGGCCAGCCTGGGACATTCTTCCTTCAACGGGATGCTCTTGGCCAGATTCTTCCAAGAAGCCCAAGTGGCTGACAGAAGTATCAGCTCTGGGACAAAGGACTCCCTAAGATATCCTTGTCCTAGACAATAGCTGAGAGCCACACAGCCAGCTGGACACTGCTGCTCAGCCTTTAGAGCAATAGGATATTGTCACTGGGTCCCCCAGAACTACCCATCCCCCAGTATCTGTGCATTTGCTCAGGCCCCTGGATTCAGCCTGATGACTTGCTCTGACCAAGTTCATGAGGCAGAGGACTATCTCAGCAGGATCAGACAGCCCAGGACCAAATCCTGCTCTGAGCACCACCACCTAGAGCATTGCCCAGGAGGGACACCCAGCCCAGAATCGCTGGAGAAGCCCAGCCCCCAAGTGAAGCTGACTGCAGATCACCCTGAGTATGGGGTGGGGATGGAGGGCATGGAGATGTGCTGAGAGCTCCCTGGATAGCAAGACATGGCTTCTCTAGCAGATGCAGAAAGAGGTCAATGATTATTCTCCTGTAACCTCTGAGGGGACAGGGTTGCTGCCTTAACTTCTAGAGGTTCTCCTCTACTCGCCATCCCTCATCCCCCAACTGGGAGAGGCCTTGCTCTCTGGAAGGGCTGACCTAGGTGCCACTGGTTTCAAATCTTTTTTTTTTTAAGTTTTATTTATTTTGAGAGAGGGAGAGAGACACACAGAGAGAGAGAGAGAGAGAGAGAGCATGAGAAGGGGAGGGGCAGATAGGAGAGAGAGAGAATCCCAAGCAGGCTCCACACTGTCAGTGCAGAGCCTGATGTGAGGCTCGAACTCATGAACTGCGAGATCATGACCTGAACCAAAATCAGGAGTTGGATGCTTAACTGACTGAGCCACCCTGGCACCCCTCAAGTCTTGTTCTGACTCCAAGTCCCCTTGAATATGCACGACCCTAACGATGGTGGTGGGGCAGTAGTACTGAGATAGGATCCCAGAAATTCCCCTAAATTAGAGGTTTCCAAATGCTGGCTCATAGACAACTGCATGAAAACTGTTGGCAACCTGTTAAAATACAGATTTGCTGGGACATTAGCACCAGACACTCTGATCTACTACATCTCAAGCAGGGCTCAGAAATTTGTCTTTTTTAAGTTTAATTTAATTAATTTAGAGTGAGAGCATGGGGCAGGCACAGAGAGACAGGGAGGGAGGGAGGAGGAGGGAGAGGGAAGGAAGGGAGGGAGAGAGAGAGAGACAGAAAGAAAGAATCCCAAGTAGGCTCCATGCTATGTGGGTCTTGAGCTCGTGAACCATGAGATCATGACCTGAGCCTAAATCAAGAGTTGGACACTAAACTCACTGAGCTACTCAGGTGCCCTGGAATTTGTATTTTTAAAATGTCCACAGTTGATTCTCATGTGCCTCCAGGTCTCCTCTCTCTGGCTCTCTATCTCTGTGGGTAAGTAGGTATCCTCAGGCTTTCTGATGAACTCTAAGATCAGAAACTACTTTTCCCAAGCCAAGGCTTCAAAATTAGTGGTCTGAGCAACCGTGGAACCCAGCCTGATAAGGTGGATCCTTTCAGAATCCTTTATTAGGATAAATGAA